ACAAATGGGAAGTATATTTTATTAAATAGTCTTTCTGAGCCTAGACCCATGGGACAATGAGGTATAATTGAAGAGGCTGATAGTATAAATTTGGCGACTATACTCAGTTCCCCTCTTTACAGACAGGGAAACTGAAGTGTGGCCACATTTCTCCAAGCAAGGCCCTTTTCATAGTCTTTCCAGGGCCTTGGAGTTACTTGTGCTTTTAGGACCCAACCCTGGGGTTTCCTGTGCGTTTTTCAGATTGATGCGTCATGCCTTACGTGGGAAGGACAACAGTTCCAGGGGAAAGCTGCCATTGTGGAGAAGTTGTCTGTAAGTAGGGGCGAAAGCCAGGGTGCAGGTGGCTCTTTTCCCATTCCTGGCCTTGGTTGTCCTACCTCCAACTCTCTGTCTTGCAGAGCCTTCCATTCCAGAAAATTCAGCACAGCATCACGGCGCAGGACCATCAGCCCACGCCAGATAGCTGCATCATCAGCATGGTTGTGGGCCAGCTTAAGGTAATGGTGCTGCCACAGAGGGACAGCCTTGTGCCCCTGTTTTCCCTGTGGATGTGACCTGCTTATCTAGGCACACTCAGACAAAATGACTGTCTAGTGCTGCGTAGTTCAATACACTAGGCATTAGCTACATGTAGGTTGCAATTTTTGAGTTACATTAATCAAGATTAAATAAAATTAAAACATATTTCTTTGGTTGTGCTAGCCATATAGAACATTTTTGTGACTGGAGAACATCCTATTGGCAGACACTGGTCTAGAGCCGTTATCTGGAAAAGAGAGAGGTATAGGAGCAGGATGGGACTGGGATACCAAGCTACTAGGCTCATACTCTGCCCCAAGGTCAAAGTGGACAGGCCGGCTGGGTGCTGAGAGGCAGTCCCCTACTACAGCCCTTGCTGCCAGTCAGGCTAGCTGCTGGCTCTTTACCTGCTGAGCAAAGCAGATTCCTGGAACTCCTAGTTTTCTTTTTTTTTTTTTTTTTTTTTTTGAGATGGAGTCTTGCTCTTGCTGCCCAGGCTAGAGTGCAATGGCGCAATCTCGGCTCACCAAAACCTCTGCCTCCCGAGTTCATGTGATTCTTCTGCCTCAGCCTCCCGAGTAGCTAGGGTTACAGGCGCCTGCCACCACGCCCGGCTAATTGTTTTTATTTTTTTATTTTTTAAAAATCTTACTTTTGGCCGGGCGCGGTGGCTCACGCCTGTAATCCCAGTACTTTGGGAGGCCGAGGCGGGTGGATCACGAGGTCAAGAGATCGAGACCATCCTGGTCAACATGGTGAAACCCCGTCTCTACTAAAAATACAAAAAAAATTAGCTGGGCATGGTGGCGCATGCCTGTAATCCCAGCTACTCAGGAGGCTAAGGCAGGAGAATTGCCTGAACCCAGGACGCAGAGGTTGCGGTGAGCCGAGATCGCGCCATTGCACTCCAGCCTGGGTAACAAGAGCGAAACTAAGTCTCAAAAAAAAAAATATATATATCTTATTTTTTCTCTTTATTTCATTAATTTTTTTATTTTTATTTTTTTCCTTTTTCCCCTGCCCCCAATTTTTTGTATTTTTAGTAGAGGTGGTTTTGCAGTGTTGGCCAGGCTGGTCTTGAACTCCTGACATCAGGTGATCCACCTGCCTTGGCCTCCCAAAGTGCTGGTATTGTAGGGGTGAGCCACCATGCCCGGCCTGGAACTCCTATTTCTCTTTGCATTTTCCTTTTCCCTTCTCAAATCCTGTTATTCTCAAAGACTTTCTGTGGTCCCTCAGATACCCCAAGAACTCTCCAAGCACCTGTTGTGTTTCAGCGTATTAAAGCCAGATTCTGTTTTCAAAAAGCTCCTTCTTCCCAAAAAAAAAAGCAGGACAAATTGGCTGCCTCTCAGCCTGGCCTTGTGTCTCATGATAACATGGTCACATGCTCACTCTCTCTAGGCTAGCTGGGGCACGGCTTCCTGAGTCCAGAATGGGTGTGTAGGTGGTCCTGTAGGGCTCTGCGGTGGACGCAGACACCTGCCTTCTGGCCTGGACTTTCCTTTCAGTTTCTCCTGCCTGTCCAAGATGTCCTGCTCAGAGCCTGTGCCTTAACAGGCACAGAATTCAGGAGGTCTCTGTAGGGAGCTCAGAGCCCACTTTCTCAGGCTGGGGTAGTAAGCACTGCTCCTTCCCACCTGGCTTCAGTTTCTTTCTGGTGATTCTCTCCAAATCGGAGCTCCGAAACAACTGATTTGTTTCCTTGCTGAGGATAACTCCCAGAAAGCAGGTGATTGTTAGAGTCAGTGCTGGTTAGCTAGGCCTGTTTTAACTAGGCTTCATTCTGGATTTCTGAGTTTAGCTTCGGGTTTCTTGCCTTTTTTTTTTTTTTTTTTCCATTGAAAATACTGTTTATTACATGACAGGAAACATCATCGGATGGTGAACCTATGTTTCCAAGATTGTTTGCAGTTCTTTTGATACTCTAAGTTATTTGGTAAATACTATGGGATTTGTTTCAGAATTGTGATCACTTGTGCCCAAAGATACGTGCTTGGAGGCATATGCATCCTCTGCTCTTTGCTATAGCTAAGGGTGAATTATTGTGTAGTTTAAGCACACATAGCAGTAGGTGTGGTTGACTGTTGGCCTTCATGTGCCCAGGGCATTGCTTCGTACATTATATCAATTCACATTCACAAGTACCCCTTGGCTATACTGGGATTTGAGTTCAGGACAGTAGGGCCTGATCCCAAAGTCCACAGTTTTTTGCTCTGTTCCCCTACTACTGAACTCTCTTCCTGTTCCTTGATTCCCTTACTGAATCCTCTTCTCTTCTCTCTCTTTACAGGCGGATGAAGACCCCATCATGGGGTTCCACCAGATGTTCCTATTAAAGAACATCAATGATGCTTGGGTTTGCACCAATGACATGTTCAGGCTTGCCCTGCACAACTTCGGCTGACCTTTTCTCAGCCAGGCACTCACGCTGTTTCCTCCTCCCTCCTCTTCCCAGTACTATTCCCACTCCTCCAGATGCTCCAAATATCATGCACAAATGAGCAGGGCCGCGGCGGGAGTGGGCGCAGTGCGCTGCTGCCACCAAGGTGTTGTGCATGATGTTTGGATGCTAGACTAGTTGCATCTGACGGGAGAAGTTTGTGTTGTACCAGCGCATGCCTTGGAAAGACTTAAGTAATGCAAAAGGTTGTCCTTTTTTTTTTTTTAATCTACTGACAAGTTGCTCTAGTAACCCAAAGACGTGAAGGAGAAAGCAGCTGCCTCACCGCCCAGACGTTGATTTGTTCAGATGTTTCAATGCCTCATGATACAATAAAACCACAAAAATTTTCTTAACAGTTTAAATTGTTTTAATGAGTTTACTAGTTGGCTGGGCATCAAAAGCCACCTTGACCCATTGTCTCTTTCATGTCTCACCCTCCCACTTCGGCCCCAACTCTGAATACCTGTTGCAGCGAGAAACTGCTAAAGCAGCACTCCCAGCTAGCCTCTCAGAAGCCCTGCAGGGCAGTTCCTCCCACCCCGCAGGGCAACTGGTCATGGGAAAGCAGGCAGGGAGAGCTCAGGTCTGGCCTGAAGCTTCTTGCACTGAAGCCTGTGCAGTCAGTTCTGATACCTCCTGTGACTTCTGCTCTGGGTAGGTTCAGGGCTCTAGCAGCAAGAGAGATGATCCTGAGTCCTGTTGAAGCTGGAGAGGCCCTCTGGGCTGAGGTCCCAGCAATATGAAGGGAGAGGCCTGCTATATCCCCAGGAGGATCAGGATCATATCCAGGTTGCCCCACATACACCAAGCCAGGCAGAAGGCAGTTCAGCTCCTGTCCCACCAGCTTTGGATATCATTATGCAAAGGCCAGTACCCAGCAGAGCCAGCCTCCACTGCCCACAGAGCCAGGCCCAGTTGGGTTGGAGTATAGGTCAGGAGCTGTGGAAGGAGGCAGTCTGGGTGTGAGAGACTCATGCCTTAGAGTCCTCAACCCTCAGACCTCTGCAGGGACATTGCAGGCCTCTCTTACTTCCTTCCTCAGCATACAGACTTCATGCTCTCTTCAAATCCCAGGAAGTCTTAGGTATTAGGGCAGTTTCTGTTTCTCTCTTTTGGGGACAAAGGCCTTGCCTAGTATAAATCTAGCCCCTCAGCCCACAGACCTCTGGAGGGTATAAACTGAGTGGCAATGTAGCAACCATAGGCTAGAACCAAACCCAGGATTTGGGTCAGTGCCCTGTTAGGGGTTTTAGGATTGGTAAGAATACCACAGCTAAATCTGACCTGTAAAAGGATAGCCTTCCCCTCTTCCACTATGGGTGGAGGCTAAGGACCTCCTCAAATCCCAAAGGTTGCCTGGCAACACTGGGCACAGGGCTGGATGGTGTGCTGTTTGAGAGGACAGCATGCTCAGGAGATTTCAGGGAATAATCTCTAGGCTGGTGTGTATTTGGAGAAGTGGGGGTGGGGAAGAGCTAGGTACCTGCTGCCTCAAACCACCCTGTATAAAATCTGCAATACAGCTTCTTCATGTACCTGTGCCTGAACTGTCTGCAATAAAAAGGAATTTGTAAACTGTGGTTTCTTTCTTCCAACCTGAGGGTGTCAGGTGGGACAAGGGGGTGCTGGGGGACAGTAGGGAACAATGACTATTGTGGTGGGACCATCTCCCCTACTCTTGCAACTCCTGGGTTTTATGGCCTCGACTGTCGCCTCAGGCCTTGAGTTATTACGACCCATTCCCCGAAGGGAACCTGAGGCTCCTGCCAATTCAGCTTATTCTGGGAGTCTGAGGGACCTTAGCACGGGCGGCTGAGTTGACCCCATCCTAGAACCATCAGAGTCCACGCTCTGGGAGTGGGCAGGGACCAGGCGGCTTCTGAGTAGAGTAGGGCTCTGGGTGGCCCAATGCGTGGACGCTTACCTCAGCCCTGCGGAACTTCTCTGACCCCTCGGGTACAGGGGCGGGGCCGCAGAAGGGGACGGGCTGCGGGAGGGCTTTAGGCGTCCGCCCCAAGCCCGGAACCTTTCTTCTCTGGCCCTGGCAGGTTCCGGGAGCCTCGGCTTGTGGGGGCCGGAAGTGGAGGCGGTTGGTGGGGTTGGCGGGGCTGAGGGACGCTGCGCGGGCGGCGGTTTGAGAACTGAGGGTGGACTGAGTGTAGCGACCGGCGTCCGACTGTCTCGCCCTGTCGCGGCTGGGCGAGGGTGGGTGGTGCGCGGCGGCGGCGGAACGAGCGCGGTGCGGGCGGGGCGCCCACCGCTGGGCCCATGGCCTCCTGCGCGAGCATCGACATCGAGGACGCCACGCAGCACCTGCGAGACATCCTCAAGCTGGACCGGCCTGCGGGCGGTGAGCGAGGGTTGCGGGGGTGGGCCCCAGACAAGCTGACAAAAGGGCGGCGAGAGTCTGAACCGCCCTTGGAGCCCACAGCTCCTTTAGGACCAGCTCTGTATCCTCTCAGCGGGTAAGGGTGGACGGAGGCCAGAGTTCCTTCACTGCCCCCCTCGAAGGGCGCAGACCCCTGGGTGTGACCCCTCCCTATCCTGTCCTCAGGCTGTTCTGCCTTGTCCTTCAGCATGTCAGTTGAAGGTGAGGCCCCTTCTCTGAATCCTCTAGGCCCCTGTGGTTTCCTGGCCTCGAGGTCTCTAGTGTTCCTAGGACCGGCCTGGCGTCTCTTCGCTTTCGCCATGGTTCAGAGAGGCCTTGTCTGGGCTCCGTGTATGGAATTCTGGGCCTAGGCTTAATCGCGGTGCTGAAGAGCCGCCAGTCCCCCTCCATAACTTGCCCTTCCCTCTGGAATAGACTCCAGGCCTCCCGTTCTGAAACTGATTTCCAGGAGGAAGGTGTCCAGACTCAGTTCCATGTTCTTTCTGGGATGAAGGCAAATCACAGACCGCACCACCCTGACTGAATTAGGCTACAAATATCTGCAAGCCCTAATTGGTTTCCATTCATTCATGTTTCACTTTAGCTCTTAGTGATACTTAAGAACTAGTCTTGCTCCCAAGATCCCCCAAGACACAGAGAGCTAACAGGGTTGTAATATACTGTTGTCATTGAAAGAAAGGAGTGTCTTGATACTGTGATGGGCATGGGATGGGTGGAGGCTGATGAATGCAGAGTGCAGGTCTGAGAGGGGAGACTGGGCTAGGTCTTGTAATGTGAACAAGGGCTTGGGTGTCAGGAAAGGCACTCAAGGCACCTATGTAGAAGCCATTTATTACAAAGAGGAAATAACGTATGCAGGCACTAGTTTACTGACAGGTTTGGGAATCTCTGAAGTGGCTGGTGATGGTGGTGTGGGTGTACAGTGGAGAACTGATGTTTCCTCAGATGTTGCTTTTACACCTGCGGGGAGGCCCAGACTGGCTGCTTCTGGAAGGAACTGGTGCTCAGTAAGGGTGGACTCAACTAATGTTTACTTTCAGAAAATCCATCTGCTGCCTGAGACCACTGGGCCCTTTGCCCCAGGCCTGGAGTGTGTGCCTTCTTTACTCATGAGTCGGGCGTGGACCTCTCCTGCTGCTCAGCAGTTGCAGACTACACTCCGCAGAGATTTGGTAGAGCCTGGGATGGCCAAACATGTACAGCCTGGGCCTTGTTTTTGGTTGTCCTCATGGTAGCCTTCATGGAAGGGAGAGTGGTCAGCTTGTCCCTGAGCAGCTAAAGTGGCTGTGATCCGAATGAAGTGGCCTGGATGCTTTCCTTATAACTCCTTTGTTTACTGATTGGCACTTGATTCCCTTGTTTGCCAAGGAGCTCTTTCTTGTCTCCTCTCACTGGAGGACCAGGTCTGAACTCAGACTATTGAGGGCCAGGCGCAGTGTCTCACGCCTGTAATACCAGCACTTTGGGAGGCTGAGGTGGGTGGGTTGCTTGAGCCCAGGGGTTCAAGACTAGCCTGGCCAACATGGTAAAACCTTGTCTCTACTGAAAATATAAAAATTATGTGAGCTGTAATGCCAGCTACTTGGGAGGCTGATGCAGGAGAATCGCTTGAATCCAGAAGGTGGAGGTTACAGTGAGCTGAGATGCGCCACTGCACTCCAGCCTGGGTGACAAAGCAAGACTCAGCCTCGGGAAAAAAAAAAAAAAAAAAAAAAAAAAAAAACAAGGAAAAAAAAAAAAAAAAAAAAAAAGAACTAAAAGACTGGAAACTTTCTATGTTCCTGAATGTGGAGCCCTAGGCTCTTGCCACCTGGGGGTTTTGGAAATGGTGTCTAAGCCTATGAGCCTGTTTGAAACCCAGCCAGTTGCAAAGAACTGAAATGCTATCTTTTCTGATGCCATACTCTGCCCTATAGTTTCTCTCCTTTTGGTCTAGCTCCTTTATGTCTCTACCTCCTGAGTTTTCTTACCCAAACTAGCTGCTTCTGAGCCATTTCTGTATGGGGCAGCCCCTCACATGCCTTAGGAGTCCATCTTCTCTCCAGACCCTGACACTACGTTGGTCTAGGCCTTGCTCTTTCTCACCCAGATTCTCAACCATTCTGCATGCTACCTTAGAATAATCATCCCACTGGCCAGAACTGACCGCATCACCTTCCCCTTTGAAACTCTTTGTGGTTCTTATGGCCCACAGGCAGAGTCTAAGTGCCACAGCATCATACCTGAGGCCTCTACAGCTTTGTTTTCCCTCCATCCTTGCTGTGTTTGTGTGTTCCGGCCACACTGACTACTCTGTGAAGTCTTTCCTGACCCTTGCTGTGCCCTCACTCAGGGTCCACAGAGTTATCCTGTACTGACCCGGGCCTAAGTATGAACTGGCCTCAAAGGGTCTTTGATGACTTGTACCCCTCCCCCAGGTAGAATAGCCTCATGCTTATCCTTGGTCCCGCATACATCAGTGTTTATGGAATGAGAGTTGGATACAGGGCCCCCTCCTCATGGACATGTTTTGCTCAGTTGAGTGTTCCTAGAGCACCTCATAGTTCTGGAAGGAAACTGCAAGAGGAGAGGTTTGTGGGCAGGTCGAGCAACCTTATCAGAGTGACATTCTCTGTCCCCAGGCCCCAGTGCAGAGAGCCCACGGCCATCCAGTGCCTACAATGGGGACCTCAATGGGCTTCTGGTCCCAGACCCCCTCTGCTCAGGTGATGGTACCTCAACAAACAAGACTGGTCTTCGGACCATGCCACCCGTTAGCCTGCAAGAGAAGCAGGTCATGTGAGTATCTAGAAGACAACAGTGGTGGTGATGGTATGTTTCGGGTGTCTGCTAGCTAATGGCATGAGATGGGTGAGTGGGGCCACCAGCCTCTGCTGCTCCCTCTCTAGATGACCTGGGGTGGAGCTTGAGCTTGTACTATGATGAGAGGCAAAGACAAGCTCAAGGGTTTGGCCTGGATATCTGGTTTAAATTGAAAGTAGGCTCATTTCCAAGGAAGGGGCTGAGCAAGGGGTTCTGTGGGTCTGGAGCTAGGGACCAGACAAAGCTGAGCATTGGACTAGATACTTTCACCAGGCTGGCTATGTCTTTGCTTCCAACCCTGCCCATTGAGCCTCTTTGGGTGAACAAGAGACAAAGTTTTTGCACTGTACCCCACAGCTGTCTCTTAGGAGATGATAGCTCTACATGCATTGGGATTTTGGCTAAGGAGGTGGAGATTGTGGCCAGCAGTGACTCTAGCATTTCAAGCAAGGCCCGGGGAAGCAACAAGGTAGGTACTAGGATGCTGTGGCATATATAATATATGGGGACACACCCAGTCTCTCTGGTCTCCCTCATACTACCAGTTCCTGTAGGGACCACCTTGACAGTTTTCCAGTTTCAGGAAACCAGGGCTGGATGCCAAGCCTCTGTGGGAGTCTGGCTCCAGGAAGTAACAGTGGGTAGCCGGACTTCCACCTGTGTCCTCTCCCATCCCCAGGGATGCTGGGGACCACCTAGGTTTTGGGGAAGTTACCCCAGCCCTCAGCTTCCATGACTTTTCTCACCCTGGGTTCTCAGGTGAAAATTCAGCCTGTCGCCAAGTATGACTGGGAACAGAAGTACTATTATGGCAACCTGATTGCTGTGTCTAACTCCTTCTTGGCCTATGCCATTCGGGGTGAGTAAGGACAGTGGGGAGGAGGGAATGTTCTGCTGGATGTCCCATAGAGCCAGCTCCATCAGGCTACTCAGGCCTTAGGGGTACAATGGAAGATTTGTCCATGCCGCCTCTTGGGGAGCTGGGTGGGAAAACCAAGCTTGAGACTATGGTGGTGGCAAGGAGACAGGCCGGGGCAGCGTTTCTCTGCTGTTGCCTGAGCCTGGATATGCACTCATGGTCCACTGCTCTCCTGATTCTAGCTGCCAACAATGGCTCCGCCATGGTGCGGGTGATCAGTGTCAGCACTTCAGAGCGGATCTTGCTCAAGGGCTTCACAGGCAGTGTGGCTGATCTGGCTTTCGCGCACCTCAACTCTCCACAGCTGGCCTGCCTGGATGAGGCAGGCAACCTGTTCGTGTGGCGCTTGGCTCTGGTTAATAGCAAAATTCAGTATCCATTCCTTGGTGTGGGGTAGTGGGACTGAAGAAGGGTGGGCGGAGCTGGGGCTGTCATGCCTCTTCATCCACTTATCTAGCCCTTAACACCCTGCTCAGAGAAGAGATCTTGGTCCATATCCGGCAGCCAGAGGGCACGCCACTGAACCACTTCCGCAGGATCATCTGGTGTCCCTTCATCCCTGAGGAGAGTGAGGACTGCTGTGAAGAGAGCAGCCCGACAGTGGCCCTGTTGCATGAAGACCGGGTAAGGGGGCTGGCATGGTGAGGAGGTGCCAGAGAAGCCATAGTGTAGGCATGGGCTGTACATTCACCTCCCTGTGTCTTCCAGGCTGAAGTGTGGGACCTGGACATGCTCCGCTCCAGCCACAGCACCTGGCCTGTGGATGTCAGCCAGATCAAGCAGGGCTTCATTGTGGTAAAAGGTCATAGCACGGTAAGCCTGTGACTGCCTGCCTCCCCTGCCCTCCCCTCTTCCTCATATCCATCCTCTGCTCCCTATATCCACAGCTGCCCAGGCAGCTTTGCTGGCACTCTGCCCATGGGGACTCTGAGCTCAAAGTGGCTCTCGCCTGTGCAGCTTTCTCCATACCTAGCGGCACCCTGCAGGTCTGGCCTTCTCTAGGGACCCTATTCATTCAGTCAGTCACACAAGCATGCCAGTCCAACTGTGAGTCAGCCCAGCTCATTACCATCCTCACTTGAGAGGGGCTCGTTCACACCTCTAGTCAATAAAGTTTTTTGGGTTCTTCCTAGTGCCTCAGTGAAGGAGCCCTCTCCCCTGATGGGACTGTGCTGGCTACTGCGAGCCATGATGGCTATGTCAAGTTCTGGCAGATCTACATTGAGGGACAAGATGAGCCAAGGTAAGGCAGGGCCTGAGGGACCAGGATCCCCCTCAGGTAGCAGACCAGACTGCTCACTTAAGCCCCTCATCTGCCTACCTACAGGTGTCTGCATGAGTGGAAGCCTCATGATGGGCGGCCCCTCTCCTGCCTCCTGTTCTGTGACAACCATAAGAAACAAGACCCTGAGTGAGTGAGTGGGCAGCCAAGTGGCGGGTGGGCTGGTCCATGGCTCCCAGCAGGGGCCCAGCCAGCCACTCAGTGCTTTTTTGTCTTGCAGTGTCCCTTTCTGGAGGTTCCTTATTACTGGTGCTGACCAGAACCGGGAGCTAAAGATGTGGTGCACAGTGTCCTGGACCTGCCTGCAGACTATTCGGTTAGCAAGGGCTGGGAGGCTGGGGAACTGGGCAGGGGCAGCAGGATTGGGAATATGGGTTCCTGGAGTTCTTAGCCTCATTCACTCTGCTTTGTGGCTCCCTAGCTTCTCCCCAGATATCTTTAGCTCAGTGAGTGTGCCCCCTAGCCTCAAGGTTTGCTTGGATCTCTCAGCAGAATATCTGATTCTCAGTGATGTGCAACGGAAGGTAGGCTACCATGGGGTACCCTGGGCAGAGCTGGGATTATAGGGGATGGTGGAGGGCAGGGGGTACATCCGCAGCCCTTAGCCTCTGAGGTCAGTTAGGAATGTGCTGCCTGTGCAGGTCCTCTATGTGATGGAGCTGCTACAGAACCAGGAGGAGGGCCGTGCCTACTTCAGCTCCATCTCGGAGTTCCTGCTCACCCACCCTGTGCTAAGCTTCGGTATCCAGGCTGTAAGTCGTTGCCGGCTGCGGCACACTGAGGTGCTGCCCGCTGAGGAGGAGAATGACAGCCTGGGTGCTGGTAAGCTGCCTCAGGGTGAGAGCTATGTGTCCATATCCTAGGGGGTTGTGGAGGCAGAGAGAGGCCCAGGGGCTTAATCATCCACACTGTTCTTTCAGATGGTACCCACGGAGCTGGTGCCATGGAGTCTGCGGCTGGTGTGCTCATCAAGCTCTTTTGTGTGCATACTAAGTGAGTGTTTGGGGATGCCCACCAGTGCCTTGTCTGTGTCTGTCTCCTCTTTACTGACCCTGGCCCTTGGAGCACTCTGTTCTCCTTCTCTTCCTGCAGGGCACTGCAAGATGTTCAGATTCGCTTCCAGCCACAGCTGAACCCTGACGTAGTGGCCCCGCTCCCCATGCACACTGCCCACGAGGACTTTAGTGAGTGGAGTGTGAGAGGGAGGTAGGGTAAGTTGGACTGACCAAGGTCTGAGATCTGACTCAAGTGGCAACTTGCCCTGCAGCATTTGGAGAGTCTCGGCCTGAACTGGGCTCTGAGGGCCTGGGGTCAGCCCCTCACGGCTCCCAGCCTGACCTCCGACGAATCGTGGAGCTGCCTGCACCTGCCGACTTCCTCAGTCTGAGTAGTGAGACCAAGCCCAAGTTGATGACACCTGATGCCTTCATGACACCTAGCACCTCTCTGCAGCAGGTACTCTCCCAGGGTAGGGGGACCTGTGAATGCCCCAGCCAGAGGCCACAGCTCTCATTCTCTGCATCTCCCCAGATCACTGCCTCTCCCAGCAGCAGCAGCAGTGGTAGCAGCAGCAGCAGCAGCAGTAGCAGCAGCTCCCTTACAGCTGTGTCTGCCATGAGCAGCACCTCAGCTGTGGACCCCTCCTTGGCCAGGTGAGGCAAGGGTCAGAGATGGAGGATGGCAGGGGCTGGTGCCAGGTGATGCCAAGCTCTGGCTGCTGACACCTCAGTCTTCCCCCACCAGGCCACCTGAGGAGCTGACCTTGAGCCCCAAGCTGCAGCTGGATGGCAGCCTGGCAATGAGCAGCAGTGGCAGCCTGCAGGCAAGCCCACGTGGCCTCCTGCCCAGCCTGCTCCCAGCCCCAGCTGACAAACTGACTCCCAAGGGGCCGGGCCAGGTATGTGAATGGGTGTGTGTGAAGTGTGGGCAGCAGGTGGGTGGCAGCAGGAAAGGTGGGTGGTGGGCTTCTCCCAGCCCTCTGCTGCTGGTCCTGCTCTTCTCTACGTAGTCCATGTTTCCCTTAGGTCATCTCATCATCCTATGTTTCCTGGAAGGTTTCTCCTCAGCCTCCCTGTCCCCACTTCCTCTTCTGGGCTATGGCCCCGTTTTTGACTATCCCCACTTCCCTGCTGCCCTGTCTCTCATTACTACTAATACTAGTGCCTCATCTCTGTGTCCCCCATCCCTGCCTCACCTGTCACTTAAGCCCCCATCTTTGGCCCACCTTAGGTGCCTACTGCTGCCTCTGCACTGTCCTTGGAGCTGCAGGAAGTGGAGCCCCTGGGGCTCCCCCAAGCCTCCCCCAGCCGTACCCGCTCTCCTGATGTCATCTCCTCAGCTTCCACTGCCCTGTCCCAGGACATCCCTGAGATTGCGTCTGAGGCCCTGTCCCGTGGCTTTGGCTCCTCTGCACCAGAGGGCCTTGAGCCAGACAGTATGGCTTCAGCTGCCTCAGCATTGCACCTACTGTCCCCACGGCCCCGGCCAGGGCCCGAGCTCGGCCCCCAGCTTGGCCTTGAAGGAGGCCCTGGGAACGGAGAGCGGCATAATACCCCCTCCCTCCTGGAGGCAGCCTTGACCCAGGAGGCCTCAACCCCTGATGGTCAGGTTTGGCCCACGGCACCTGACATTACTCGTGAGACCTGCAGCACTCTTGCAGAAAGGTGAGGAGCTTGGGAGGAGAAAAGTATGCTAGCTAGGAGGAGGCTTTAGGAGGGGCTTCAGATAGAATCATCCACTGCTGAGTCAGCCTGTCCCCCAGCCCCAGGAATGGCCTTCAGGAAAAGCACAAGAGCCTGGCCTTCCACCGACCACCATATCATCTGCTGCAGCAACGTGACAGCCAGGATACCAGTGCTGAGCAAAGGTGGATGCCACCCTATGCCATTGCCCTCATGGTGGGGGTGGGCAGCAAGTGGGCAGGGGCTTACCCCTCCTTCCCCTTCCCATAGTGATCACGATGATGAGGTGGCCAGCCTCGCCTCTGCTTCAGGAGGCTTTGGCACCAAAGTTCCTGCTCCACGGCTACCTTCCAAGGACTGGAAGACCAAGGGATCCCCTCGAGCCTCACCCAAGCTCAAGAGGAAAAGCAAGAAGGATGATGGGTAGGGAGGAGTCCTAGGGAGAGGGGAGGGTGGTCTCCAGGCTTCCTGATGTAGCCTGAGGTGCTTCTCGCCTGTGGCAGGGATGCGGCCATGGGATCCCGGCTCACAGAGCACCAGGTAAGTGAATGAGCGCACTTTGTACTCATGGTAATTTCACCCTGTGAGGATGGGGAAGGGCTCTGGGCCATTCCCTGGTCTGGTTTGTGGGGATGGGTGGGGCAGGCATCATGTGACTCTCAGTGCTACTGGTAGGTGGCAGAGCCCCCTGAGGACTGGCCAACGCTAATTTGGCAACAGCAGAGAGAGCTGGCAGAGCTGCAGCACAGCCAAGAAGAGCTGCTGCAGCGTCTGTGTACCCAACTTGAAGGTCTGCAGAACACCGTCACAGGCCACGTAGAACGTGCCCTTGAGACTCGGCACGAGCAGGAGCGTATCCTTGAGGCTGGTAGCACAACATGGCATAGGGATGGGGGCAGCATTCTTGGCCTGGGAAGGAGTACACAACCTGCTCCAGGCCTGTTCCTTAGCTATGGCGCAGAGCGGCGGCTGGAGCGAGCACTGGCTGAGGGGCAGCAGCGGGGAGGGCAGCTGCAGGAGCAGCTGACACAACAGTTGTCCCAGGCACTGTCTTCAGCTGTAGCTGGGCGGCTAGAGCGCAGCTTACGGGATGAGATCAAGAAGACAGTCCCTCCATGTGAGTTTTGCATACAGACTCTCTTTGGGTGGTTCAGGTGGGAGTAGGGGTACCTGTCAAGTTACTCCTGGCTCCACCTTCTCCTATTCCCCTCTCCCAGGTGTCTCAAGGAGTCTGGAGCCTGTGGCAGGCCAACTGAGCAACTCAGTAGCCACCAAGCTCACAGCTGTGGAGGGCAGCATGAAAGAGAACATCTCTAAGCTGCTCAAGTCCAAGGTGCTATAGGGCCCAAGATGTGGGTGGAGGTGGTGGTTTTGGCCTAGTCAGGCCAGGCTGTGCTCAGGCTTTCAACTTGGCCCCTCCTTCTAATTCCAGAACTTGACTGATGCTATTGCCCGAGCAGCTGCAGACACATTACAGGGGCCGATGCAGGCTGCCTACCGAGAAGCCTTCCAGAGTGTGGTGCTGCCGGCCTTTGAGAAGAGCTGCCAGGCCATGTTCCAACAAATCAATGATAGCTTCCGGGTGGGGACACAGGAATGTGAGTGGAGTCATATGGCCCAAGGTGGGAACGACTATCCTCCGCTTTCTTACTGTTCCTCTTATACTCCCTGTGGTCACCCCTCAGACTTGCAGCAGCTAGAAAGCCACATGAAGAGCCGGAAGGCACGGGAACAGGAGGCCAGGGAGCCTGTGCTGGCCCAGCTGCGGGGCCTGGTCAGCACACTGCAGAGTGCCACCGAGCAGATGGCAGCCACTGTGGCCAGCAGTGTTCGGGCTGAGGTGCAGCACCAGCTGCACGTGGCTGTGGGCAGGTGTGTGGGCAGGGTGGTGGTTTTGAGGAAGGCCAGATTGGGCTCCCTGTCCACTTCACCTCACTCACTTACCTTTGCAGCTTGCAGGAGTCCATTTTAGCACAGGTACAACGCATTGTTAAGGGTGAGGTGAGTGTGGCGCTCAAGGAGCAGCAGGCTGCTGTCACCTCCAGCATCATGCAGGCCATGCGTTCAGCTGCTGGCACACCTGTCCCGTCTGCCCACCTTGACTGCCAGGCCCAGCAAGCCCATATCCTCCAGCTGCTGCAGCAGGGCCATCTCAATCAGGCCTTCCAGCAGGTACGATAGGTGTTAGGTCCTGGTAAGGGTCATGTGTCTCTTGACAAGGCCCACACATCATACATTCCACTCCACCGACCAGGCTTTGTACCTTCTGGCCCCAGCAGAGTGTTCTTGGTTCCCCTTGGCCTCCAGGCCATTGTCCCTGCTGCTTCCTCTTCCTGGACCCCTTTCTGCCCACCTAGCCCACCTTGCTTTACAGCTATCCTTCTCAGGAACCATTTCTTGATCCCCTAGGGTAACTACATGGCCCTACAGGTCTCTCTCTGGGCCCCTCTGGAGCTCTCACTAGCCTACCCTGTGGTCATCTGCCCCCAGGCCACACAGTTCAGACAAGCAGACATTCCATCCTGATGTTCACTGTGAATGCTGCTGCTTTTTTCTCCTCCAGGCCCTAACAGCTGCTGACCTGAGCCTAGTGCTGTATGTGTGTGAAACTGTGGACCCAGCACAGGTTTTTGGGCAGCCACCCTGCCCGCTCTCCCAGCCTGTGCTCCTTTCCCTCATTCAGCAGCTGGCATCTGACCTTGGCACTCGAACTGACCTCAAGCTCAGGTAAGTGTGGGCAATCAGGGACAGGGAGATGAGCTGTGGGGTGGGGTCTTGGGAGGGGGCAGTTTGAAGCTGACACCCACTTATGCCTGAATCTCCTCCCTAATTTTCTTCACCAATCCCCTCTGCCCTCTCACCCCAGGGGTTCCCTCTGGGCGTCGGTGCCACTAGGGGGCGCTCCCATCTGCTGGCACCCACCTGTAGCCTGTTCTTTCCCTGCTATCCCCAGCTACCTGGAAGAGGCCGTGATGCACCTGGACCACAGTGACCCCATCACTCGGGACCACATGGGCTCTGTTATGGCCCAGGTGCGCCAAAAGCTTTTTCAGTTCCTGCAGGCTGAGCCACACAACTCACTTGGCAAAGCAGCCCGGCGTCTCAGCCTCATGCTGCATGGCCTTGTGACCCCTAGCCTCCCTTAGCTGCCAAGCCTGCCTTGCCCAGGGGTGGGATGGCACTGAAGGCCAGCAAACAGGCCTAGGTTGAGGCAGAGTTGTGGCTGGCTTTTACTTGCTCAGGCCCCCATCTCTGGGGTGTTTGGGGGTCAGGGAGCAGGGAGCACTGGCTGTGGTCTACAGGGTGTGGTAGTCAGCAGGTTTAGGCTGGGCCCAGGGCAGGTATTGAGCCTTCTTGGGTTCTGCCATGCCTGGAGCATGACTGCGAGATTGTGACACCACTTGAGTGGAATTTTCCATGTTCCTTTTTACCTCTGATTTGGATCTTTTTGTTTTTGAAAAACATTGAGAAATTCAATTAAATATGCTTTTGGAATAAAATGAAGTATGTGTGTGCTTTTGGTCTGTCTTCGGTGTGACTCTCATAACTGCCCTCTGTCCCCTGCCCTTCTCTTCCCCATGGAGCTCTGTATAGGCCCAGCCCTTTGGCTGGATTACCTACTCATCTACTCCATCTGTCTTCCCAGATTTACCTTCTCCTTCTTTCTATGGGGTGAGGGTCCAGGGGCCTGCTCAGCACCATCCTGTGCCCCTGGGAATTTCTGCTCTCATGAGGTTCCTTTGCTCCTTTACCAATCTGAGTATTGGAGGCGGAGCCACCGGCTGGCTTCGGAGCCCCACCCCCGGCTCCCATCCAATCACCGTCCCTTCCTCCGGGGGGCTGGGTAGACGGGCTATACTCCTAGCAGCTAGCTCCCGCACTAGGCTCTCAGCCAGGGATGATGCGCCGCTGCCGCTGCTGCCGCCGCTGCCAGCAACCACCCCGTGCCCTGAGGCCGCTGCTGTTGCTGCCCCTCGGTGAGTGTGGGCGTCCGGGGCCCAGGCCACACTTCCTCTCGCCCAGCCAGGTCAGGCCGGGTATAGGGTGTGTGGGAACGCTGGGCGCCAGGGTGGAGAAGAGTTGCAAGGGCTCCAGGAAGGTGTGCTGGTGACTTCAGGACAGAAAGTCAGAGGCACAAACAGCTCCAGTTATGGGAGAAGGACTCCAAAATTTGCATCCCCTCTTCTGATAAAGGGAGCCATGCCAAAAGCAGGACTTATAGACCAGCCCTAGGATCCCTAAGTCCTTTCTGAGGGTCTGGCCTGGATCCCAATACCTCTTTATCCTGCCCTGTCTCTCCAAAAAATACCTATCTTTGGAGAGAGTTCGCAGAGCCAAGCAAAGCTTGTCTAAATTGCAGAGAGATGCACCTGTTCCTGGTTCTGGTCCTCCGGATCCCCCTCCCCTCCACCCTGTCTTAACTCCTTCACATGGACCCTTCTCACCTCACCTGGGGCCCCAGAAGCTCAGAGGAAGAGCTGACTTGGGGGACATAATACTCCCTCCCCCTGTACAAATCCCAGTGCGGTTCCTAACCTTGAAGAGGGCCTGGGTAGGTTAGGCCCAGACTTGCCCTTTAGTTCCCTGGGGCACCGTTTTCCCACTGAGTCATCCCCAGAGTGCTCCCAGGTAAACAAGCCCCTGGGGGCTGGGGGATGGGCCTGGCTCATCCTATCTACTGGTCTACCCTCTCATCCCACCCCTGCCCCACTTCTAGTCCTTGTACCTCCCCTGGCAGCAGCTGCAGCAGGCCCAAACCGCTGTGACACCATATACCAGGGCTTTGCCGAGTGTCTCATCCGCCTGGGGGACGGCATGGGCCGCGGAGGCGAGCTGGAGACCATCTGCAGGTACTGGCGCGTGCAAGGCAGTGGCCCAACCTGTGCCACCATCGGGGACTGACCTTTTATTTCCCAAGCCGGAGTCTCTTTGCCTCACCTAATCCCCCTAATCCTACTCCCTTAACAGGTCTTGGAATGACTTCCATGCCTGTGCCTCTCAGGTCCTGTCAGGCTGTCCGGAGGAGGCAGCTGCAGTGTGGGAGTCACTACAGCAAGAAGCTCGCCGGGCCCCCCACCCGAATAACTTGCACACGCTGTGCGGCGCCCCAGTGCGTGTTCAGGAGCGCGGCACAGGCTCCGAAACCAACCAGGAGACACTGAGGGCAACAGCGCCTGCACTCCCCATGGTCCCTGCACCCCTGCTGCTGGTGGCTGCTCTAGCCCTGGCTTACTTCCTGGGGCTTCTGTCCTAACCTGTCAGGTCAGGTGGCAGTGCCCAGGCCTCCAGCCTTGCTCTGGCAGTGGTTGTCCAGGCTCTGCAGAGCGCAGCAGGGTTTTTCATTAAAGGTATTTATATTTGTACTAAGCTCCTTCCTTTCTCCCAGCTGTGGCCTTGCTTGGCTGGGGCTGGAGACTCCCAGAAACTGATCCTCAGCTTGGATGGGATGGGCGGGGCTGAGGGCCACCACAGGGGACTCAATCTTCTTATAAACACTCATTTCCCAGTGGCAGCCCAAAGCTTTCCATTTCGTGCAGGTCCCAAGAGCTCCTCCGGTGGAGACTGGAGATCTGCCAGAATGCATAGTCTTCCTGTACCATCCTGTGCTGGCTGGGGTTGGGAGGGTGGGGTCTCAGCCCTGCACTCCTAGCACTGCCTACCCCTTCTATCCTGGCCCCTGGGGGCCAGGTCCGAGGGGTTGAGTACCCTTGATCCCAGCTCTACCCCCTCCCCAGCTTCCTGCTCCTGACCATCTCACCTCCTCCTCCCTCTGCCTGTCACTTCAGCCTTCAAGGGACAGCACAGACTATGTGCTCAGTGCCTTCCTCTGGGTTTCTGGTCTATCTAAAGGAGGCCTGTTCTAGAAGGTGGGGAGCCTCTGTTGAAGTCCGCATTCAAGCCCCTGATGTGACCTGAAGTGGCAAAAACTGGAGTCACCATAAGGGTTCCTCTGGCCTCTGCTCTCCCCACAAGCTTGTTCATTGAGAAGAGGTAGGCAGTGTGCGGTCAAAACAATCGCAGAAGGCTTTCTGGAAGCCATGTAATGAGAGCATGTGGTGTGTGAGGAGCCCCGCTTCATACAGGTGGAAAGGAAGAGCAAAATCAGCATAGGCAGAACCGAGGAAGGAGGAGGCCTTCTAGGGGTGGGGCCCTCTTCTGATCAGCCTTCTCCCACCACTGCCAGGATCCTATTCCAAGCCATCACGCACAGTTTCAGCGACACTGTCTTAGTCTCCTCATCGACTTCTATTATCGCTCCCTCCGCTTTATTCTTTTTTTTTTTTTTCTTGAGATGGAGTCTCATTCTTGTCTGCCAGGCTGGAATGCAGTGGCGTGATCTTGGCTCACTGCAACCTCCACCTCCCGGGTTCAAGCAATTCTCCTGCCTCAGCCTCCCTAGTAGCTGGGATTACAGGTGCCTGCCATCACGCCTGGCTAATTTTGTATTTTTAGTAGAGACAGGTTTTGCCATATTGGCCAAGCTGGTCTCGAACTCCTGACCACGGGTGATCCAACCCCTTTGCCCTCCCAAAGTGATGGGATTGCAGGCATGAGCCACCATGTTTGGCCTTATTCCTTACTTTCTAAATTGAAAAACTCAGCCAGGCACTGTGGCTCATGCTTACAGTGTCACCTCCTCCAGGAACTATTCCTTAACCCTGACTACAAGCTGAAATCAGAAGGCTCCTCTAGTTCTACACAGTTCCTGGATTCTCTTCTGCCTCAAGCTAGTGATAGCACTAGCTTGTTATTGTCTAGTTACAGGTCAGAATTCCCCACTGTGGACTCCCCAAGGGCAGGAAGTCCTTTTTGTCAGAATCCTCATTGTGTCTCTAGCATCCAGCCTAGGACTGGATATAAAGGGTGCACTTGTGGGAGGGTGTGGAATGAAAGTCCATCACGGTTAGCTGGGCATGGTGGCACGTGCCTGTAATCCCAGCTACTAAGGAGGCTGAGGCAGGAGAATTGCGTGAACCCAGGAGGCGGAGGTTGCGGTGAGCCGAGATCGCGCCATTGCACTCCAGCCTGGGTAACAAGAGCAAAACTCCGTCTCAAAAAAAAAAGAAAGTCCATCACGGGTAGTGCTATAGTCAGCAAGAGCTTGGACTGAGAATGACCCAGTGTGGAGGTGTGTCATCTTTGGGTGGCACCTTCACCTTGGGCATACTGCTGGGAAGATGGTGCTGGGGCTATATACCCCAGAAGTCTTCCAGAGCTGGTATTGGGTGACCAGGAGCAGGGGCCTGGCTGTTCTGGCCAACCATCAGGGAGATTACCATCCTCCTGCTGTGACCTACTTTTCCCCTGGTTTTTGCTCCCTAAGGCCCTACTCTTCTATGGAATAGAGGGGGGCTTAGGGAGGGGGAAAAGAATCTGCTTTCTGGCCAGGCGCTTAAGGGCTTTGTGCGTTTTATCCTAGAGCTGGGGGAGAGGGGTGGGCTGATAGCCATGCTAGCTGGGCCCTGGGCACAGCTGCCCAGGCCAGAGTATCATGGTGATTGTGTTTCTCACATTTGCAGCACTGTGGACAAGGAGTAGCTTATTGTTCTGAGAGAGCCTGGGGGATGGATGTCCTGGGCCCAGTCCCCTCTCCATTCATATATCTCTTCACCTCAGGGCCTCCCTCTTGCTCTTCTCCGGAGCCCAGACCAGCACCTGAACATAGTAAGGGTTCAATAAATATTTGTTAATTAGCTGAATATCTGTAAAATAGGAATGTTGTGTGGATTTCTGAGTGCCATCACCCTGGAATTCACATTACTTTTAACGTTCACAACTTTTTTTTTTTTTTT